CTGAATACTTCTAAATAAAGCATTTTATTATACAGTACTTTTGTGGCTAATTCTAGAACCACCCCAAGATTGGTTTCTACATCCAATTAGAAACATTGGAAAAGGCCAAAAATAATCAGGGTCTATTGTTGTTGTTGTTTTTTTTACTGGATTAAGTGTCCTGAAACATAACTTCTTTTCCAAAGCGTTATATAATCTCTTTAATTAATATAATAGTATTTGCTAATATATTTTCAGATAGTATGGGAAATAATCCTACAGAGGATGATCAAGGACACAGGTAGGATCTGAAACATGTCTGAGATTTGCATATACTTCCTTTCCCGTTTCATGGACTGGATGACATTTGTGATTGCCACTCTATGGAGCAGAAACACTAGTGCCTGCCCCATTGGATTATTTGCCATACATTAAATTGAAATTCATCTTCATTCTTACTTGATGCAAAGACAAAACCCCTGCTTTTCTCCATGAATCAGATAAACATACAGAAAAATCTACCATTCGTTTTAATTGAATTTTAAATTTATGATCCTTATTTATTATTTTGATGCTTTCTAGTGCATTTTAATTGAATGCTTGTTACCTGCCTCTAGCAAGATGGGTGGCATAAAAGTTAAATAAATAAATGCTAGATCAGGCCAAGGTCCATGAAATCCAGTATTTTGTTTCTCATTACCTTGAACCTGAGCCATAAAGAAAATCTCTTTTTTTTAATGCATCAAGCGTATAGAAAGAAATTGCTCCATGCTAGCGTCAGGTACAAAAAATAGTGTTCCCTTTTCTTCTGTGAATTGCTGCCATTTATGCATAGTGTCTACATTTGGCTGGCATGCAGAAAATAACACACACATTCATCATGTTTCCTAAAGGAGAAATACTTCTTCTTTAGAAGAAAGGACCCAACCCAAGGAGCACTTGCAAATGTTTCAGATGGCTGATGCTTCTGGGATGGGACTGGCTTTCAACAAGCATGTCTGTTGGCTCCAAGCCTGAAAAAGATTGTTTTTGTGGGCAAATTAGGCCATGGGTTTGAGATTCCTATTTTTGATCTAGGAGCAACTCATGCCCAAGTAATTGAAATAAAGAAATGGATTGGGAAATCATTGAAAGCCTTATGGAATACTCAGGGCAGGTTAAACATGTTATTAGCTTGCATGCTCATAAGTGTGTATGTGTATACTATACTGGAATCCACTTGTAAGGGAAGTTCTCCACCTAATATTTAGTCATCCCCTTTATCTTCTGGGCCTGCATGCAAAATCTGCTCCCAGTGACTCTTTGCATTTAGCTTGCAAAGAATTGTAAGAGAGTTTGATTGAACAAATTCCCATAATCATGAATCCTGATAAAACAGGGTGGGACTTGTGTGCACTTGCACATCTGCTCTCTGGCTTATATTTTACTCACATTGCTAGCAAACAGCTCCATGGATGTGTGAGTCAAGGTAACATTAAAAAAACCCAAAATTATACTAAAAAAGCCGGCATACTAAGGAGAAACATGCAGGAAGGAAGCAGTTCCATCCCCTAGATGGATTGAGAATGAAGGAAATAAAGCATGCACTTGTCCTTGATTTTATGTCAGGTTATATTACTTTTATTTACATATTCATGACTTGTGCATTTTAGGTTACATTATTTAGGTGCATTATTCCTAAATAGTTAAATAGTAATTTGCACTTTTTCTTTGCCATTTTTAGCTAACATTAATGTTAAGGCTGATCCCTGTTGGAATATAGTAGAAAGTTTGTCTTCTGAGAAATGTAAGGTAAGTTTTTTTTAAAAAAAAAATGCTTATTTTTTTTAAAAAAAATTACATGTAAGTCCCAGTACATACGTACATATATACATACAGTACATATAAAACAGCCACCCTAAATCTTTCCAATTAGATTTTTGAATCCAATCCCTTAACATCTTGCACCTCACTTAGATGTGCATAATATCACACTGTTGCTTGAATCAACTAATTACCTCATTGTTTGATCTTTTGCCCTAGAGATTATCAATAGAAAAAACCTCTGGTTTTTTAATCCTCAAACTATCAATTCATTTTTTCTTCTTCAAGCAAAAATTCCATATAAGGTTTCCAAACTTTCAGAAAAGTATATTTTTTTCTCTGACCAAACTGATCAGCTTTACTATTTCTGCAAATTTAATTAATTTTATAATTCAATCTTCCATTTAGGTGTTTCATTGCTTTTCCAAGTATTTTTATACAATAATCTTGTCATAGTTTTTGTTGTTGTTAGTTGCGAAGTCATGTCCGACCCATCGCAACCCCATGGACAACGTTCCTCCAGGCCTTCCTGTCCTCTACCATCTTTTGGAGTCCATTTAAGCTCACGCCTACTGCTTCAGTGACTCCATCCAGCCACCTCATTCTCTGTCATCCCATTCTTCTATTGCCCTCAATCTTTCCCATTATTAGGCTCTTCTCCAGTGAGTCCTTCCTTTTCATTAGGTGGTCAAAGTACTTGACTTTCAACTTCAGGATCTGGCCTTCTAAAGACCAGTCAGGGTTGATCTCCTCTAGGATTGACCGGTTTGATCGCCTTGCAGTCCAGGGGACTCGCAAGAGTCTTCTCCAGCACCATAGTTCAAAGGCCTCAATTCTTCTGCTCTCATTCTTTCTTATGGTCCAACTTTCACAGCCATACATTGCAACTGGGAAAACCATGGC